GGCGACCCGGAACTTGGAAAGGAGGACCTTCGCGCCTGATAACGGCATTCTTCCGACCGGGAACCGTTCCCGGATGAACAAACAAAGAATCAGCCCCTTCTATCTTGGTATGACAGTCAAACTCTATTTCTTTCTGGTATAGAAATCGATGTTCCAATATTTGGTCGCGAACCCGCGTGCCTTGATCACGGCCTCACATCTCCGACCCATAAACTCCAGTAATTTCCGGCAGACTTCTTCCGGAGTTTCCGCCCACACTTTCTCGACAGCTAACCACAGTTTTTCCACGTTTGTACAGGCTTCTATCGATCCTGCGATACACGTCATCCCAGAGTTTCTCGATCGGATTCAGGTCGAGGGATTGTGCCGGCCAATCGAGAACACGGATGTCCTCATAGGCGAGGAAAATTTTCACCAATTTGGCGGTATGTGTCGGGTCGTTGTCTTGCTGTTATATCCAGCCCGTGGGCTTGTTTTCTCTGGCATATGGCCGTCATGATCCCTGAAATCCGATGACTGGGGCCCATGCCTTGACTCGAGAAACAACCCCAGACGAGAATGCTGCCCCGTCCATGTTTTACGGTTTTGACCGTATAACGAGGATCATCCTGAGCGTTCGCTGGCCGGCGAACATACACACGGCCATCTGGGCTCAGGCGATTGGATTTCGATTCATCGGAGAAGAGGACTCTCTCCCAATCAGAACTTGACCAAGAGGAATGACTTCGAGCGAATTCCAACCTCCTCTTGCAATTCCTGAGGTTCATGAGGGGCTTCTTCCAGGCCACGCGAACGTGTAAGTTCGCTGGAGCCAGCCGACGTTTCATAGTCGTGACCGAGACCTCAACGCCCTCTCGCCTCAGCATTTCTGTCATGCGGGTTGCCGTAAGGAACGGATCTATGCGGCAATCGCGTTCGATCCCCCGATCGGTTCTCGCAGTCGTCGCCCTCGGCCTTCCTCTCTTTCCTGGTCCTCGAGGCCAGTGGTTTCCAAACTTATTCTTCGCAGGGATTCCGTAGGGGTTCCGCAGGGGTTCCGCAGGGGTTCCGCAGGTAGACTTTGGGATTCCGCGCAATTCGCCACGGAACCCAAGGGTCCCGCGGAACCCTGTTTGGGGACCTCTGCTCTAGGCTTCGAGTTCGCCGCAGCCCCGTCTTCGAAAACGTTCTGGACTTATTTCCTCGTTTGCCTGATCCCACTTATAGCATTCATGGGAGAACCTTCTTCTTTAAAACGAATCATGAAATGACGTTCACTATCCGTGGTGTTTTTTCCTCGCATCATTCCCGGAATTCCTAAGAACACAGCACAGGTTCCTTGAACGTTGTCCTCTCTTCGCTGTCAATGGACGAGGTTTCGCACATGGGATCGAGTTTGAAAGGCCTGAGGTTGACTTTTTCTAAAATTCAAACGACATTGTTTCACATCGGTGTCCCGGTCACACGAAAGAGCTGCTGATGTTCGAGTTTCATCAACGGACACTTTTTGAAATCGCGGTCGTAGAATCGACATTCCAGTATTCCAGGCCTGAACCCCCAAGTGTGATAGGTCAATCGAAAGCTCCTTAGCCGAGCTACATAATGCATTACCCGACAGAATCATTCAATGACCTGTCAAGAACTTGAGGAACTCGGAGAGACTTCATGAAATTCGACAACTTGGCTCGCTTCTCCTACTTCCTAAGATCCCCCATCCGCAGCTCCGAATATCCGATGCGAGGTGCTCATCGTATAAATATCTTTCCGTCCATGGATTTGGGAAAAATGAAATGTTCGGATCGGAGCTTTTTCGAGGAGTTACAGACCTTCCAGAGAGGCGAATGAAACTCCTAAGGGGCTCTATTTTCTCGGCCGCCACTGTGAGTAATGCTTCCAAAAGAAAGATCGGCTCTCGCGGTCGATGGGACCGCGCGGGAAACTTTCTTCGAACCTGAGCTGAAGCCAGAGAACAGAGCTCCACGAGCCGATGGGCATTCTACCGAGCGAAATTCGAAAGATCCTTCTCGAAGCGAAGTTCGACATCGCATAGGCGGAACGACCGCATATGACTTCGGTGTGCGAATGTATGTATGTATATCGATTCGGAAGTGGTCGGTTTTGATTTTGCCTGCATGTAGCAGCTCGAATGGAGCTCGTCGGCACCGAAGCGTCGACGACATGGGGTACATCCATACAAGAGATAAGCGCGTACAGTAAGCAGACCTAATTAGCCTGCCTCGACCAGAGCTGAAGATTTCGGTGACGGCGTCCTCTCCCGAAAGTTTTTTAGTTCCGTCAGATGACACGGCGTGACGCTTCCTCGATAATCAGGCGAGTGTCCGATGCCTTCCGAGAACTCACTAGTGAGATCAGCTGGTATATCAGGAGGAAGCTTTCGACATTCGAGACGTCAGAGAGGGCTCAGCTTCAGCAACTTCCGCATCTCACAGCGAACAAGATCGCTGGACACGATTTCCCCGAGCGGCGCAACGAATTCACTCGGGAGAAGAACAAAACAATCAGTCTAGCTCCGGAGTGCGTACCAGGAAAATGAGATTTTCACGCTCGACTAGAACGGTTCTATTCCGCCACTGACCGCCAATCTGGATTTCGTGTCGGAGAGCTGCTCATTTCTTCCCAAATCCGCGAGGTGAAAAGATTCTCTATCCATGATTCATTAGCGATGCGGGGGCGCGGGGGAAACGGACTTCATTGTCCGTCAGATGACGGTCAGCTGATGAGAGCGACTCGGAGCCGGAGCGAAACTCGAGCTGCGCCTCCGTACAATAGTACCTGCTGGAGGACTGCTTCGCGACGGAACTCGGACATGTACCGGTCCATAAATGACTTTCTTCGCGGGAAGCTTTCTCTTCACGCCCACCGGAAATATTCCGCGCCGATGGACGCAGACTTATTCGGATCAGAGGTTCCAGGAACCTTGACTTTCTCACGGTCTGTCGTTCGCGAAAGCGAATTGATTTGAGGGCAAAGTTACGTGTCTATCACAATGGGAGCCATCGAGATTATTATGCAGTCTGTGCCCGACTTGCATCGTGGTGTATTTCCGGTTGTTCGCTTCTGCATATCTGCTGAACAGTACGATCACTGTTTGCTGAGGTGATTGGCGCGTCTGCTGGTCTCGGGTGAATCGAGAGACAGCTCCGACTCGATCGCTACAAGTCCATCCTGTGCTTAACCAAATAATCGGACTCTATTGAGGCTTTGGGACCGGAGCGCAGCGCCAGGGGAGGGGGGCAGACGTGCATGGATACGACAGGCTTCGGGCTGCGTTCTTCTCACCGCTTCCGAGTCCTTCGGCAGCGCCGCTGATTCGGTGACTTAGTCAGCCAGCAGAGCTTCGTGCTACGATCCTCGAGGACGGAGCTCCTCCTATTCGCTCCGGCTGTGGGACCCCCGTGTTATAGGACGCACCAACTTACTTTACTCGAAGTTGCGCCCTGGATGTATCGCTCTGAACGATATCCAGTTTAAAATGTGTCGGGAGCGCTGATGATGAGGGCCTATTCGAACAGAATGCAAACGCGACATTCTCGGACAGACCGACGGGAATTCCGATCGCGAATCGTCGAAGAAAGTTCCCTGCTCCAAACCGTCCCGAGGTCCGCGCTCCCTCTAGGACATTTACCCTGGGAGCAGAATCACTCCGTGGTCTTTATTCGTGTCCCTTGCGAGGAGCGTTGAACGAGAAATGAATCTTGACGCGGCGTCCTTGACTTTGTTTTCTCTCTGGCTGACTTTGTGGGCTCGAGTCCGCGTTGAGTCGGGGGCTCTGACGCTCAGAAAGGCAAATCCGCGCTAAGCCGCGTCCCGACTCCAAGCCATCTACATGAAATACAACAACGATCCCACGTCGCAAAGTATACTTCTTGACAGTCGAGAGTGCTGTGTTGAGCTCAAAGCATCTGCTTGCTCGAGGATGACCCATGACTCAAGCCGCTGAGCGGAGAAAAGACCTCATTGTGATACGCTCAAGCATTCGTCGGGTACCGAGTCGACTCGTCTTATTCCGGGTTGCTTATTGACGAATCGACCGGCCTGGCGGTCGCATTGAGGATGTCGCCGTAAACGACTGCACGAATGTTTCCGATATGAGTTTCCTCCCGACTCCCGACAGAGCAATGTGATCAGCGAGCATCGCTCTGGAGTCTAGAACGCGAAACACCAGAGCGTATTTATTACAATTGAAGCGTATTTATCTCTCGTTACTCAAGACAAAGCGGAGCTGGAAGAGAACTAACGGACTCGCATGATCCTTCGCCCGCTTCCTCTGGAATTGTATGGAGTTCGGTCCGTCACTTGAGTCACATTATTGCAAACGTGAGAGAATCCCATCGAAAGCGGACCTCTGATGGGAGTAAAATTCCTCCCCAGACATCGATTCAAACGTTGACCCGTGGCTTGAGGCCCTTCCAACCGAGGTCTTCGCTTTCTCTGCGGGCCTGCCAGTCGGAAGCGTACTTTCACACACTTCCGGTGCGAATTGAGACTCCCGGAGGATGGAATAAAGAGGCCAGGCGGGAGGCATCGAGCAATAAACGATCCATGACGAGGAATGTGAGTGATAAAAATTGCTTTGCGAATTATTTATTCCAAAGCCGAATGCCCGGATGTTGTTCGAGCTTCGAGCATCCGCTCTTAAACGATCGTTCTACGAACGTGTTCCTATACGCTGCATTTACATAACGTACCGAACGGAGAACCGAGCGAGTGGTGGTTTCATGATTGACGAGTCTGAGATTGCTTTTGAGAATGGATTTCCAAACAAAGACGTGCTCGCACGACTGGCGAGGCTTATACTCGAAATAAACTCTAAGCCTCATTCTTGGGCTGTTTGCTTTCGCTCTGACAAGAAACTAGACCGCATCGAGAATTCTTCTGGATTCGCTTTTCTTGTTTTTGACGAACTGCTTATGGAAATCGATTTCGATAAGGTCGTCGATTGACGGTCCAGCCACTCCCTCAATTCTCATGATCCGGTTATTCTACGGGGAACACATTGTCTACTAATGACTAGGATATTGTTCCAAGCTCGAACGCTGGGTAAGCGCCGCGCCGTTCCTCGACGCTCAGTCACGAGCGCCCCGCATGGACAAAATGCTCGATGGCTTCGAAGTTTTTTTTCGCATTGTCCTTGCTTGAACTTTCAATGCATTTCAATAGCGACGCCGCTGTCCCGTTGAGGATCTGCCGGTACCCTTGCGGCTTGATTTCGAGGAGCTGTTCGCAGATTTATTCACTTCCACCCACTCGAACATTGAGGGCTGGGCACCGCTCGCAGAGCGGGTCTCCGGGGCTTTGTACAGGACTTTTAAACGATTCTTATTGTCTAGAACGATTTCACCATCTAAATATACCTCGTTGATGAATCCCAAGAGTCGATCGACCTGTGTTTGGAAGATTAGAACCGAATTAGCGACTTGCTCTCATTAGCAGCTCACCAGACGCTCTACCATGCCCCGGGGGAAGAGGGAATACCTTCAGGAGGATTCGACGGGAGAGCATGAAGTATAGGAAATGGGTGCGGAAGGAAAGCTACGAACCTTTTCAGGGAAGGCGTGGATTTGAGAATCGACCGTCAGTGGCTTCGCGGATGGAATAGCGTCTCCTTTGCCCATGCCGAAGAAGCCTTTGACTTTCCGGCCCATGAAACTGATGATCTCGTAGTCGTTGCACTGTTTCTCGATATCAGCTTTCACTGATTGGAACGAGCTGATGATTAGAGTGACGAAAAGATTGAGCAGAATCACAGATGTTATGAAGGCGAACACGAAGAACACCATCGGTCCTATGACTGGAGACGCCATGGAGATTTCGTCAAACTTGAAATGACCTCGCGCCATATCGAAACAGGTCTCCGCCGAAGTGACGAAGCTGGAGAATTCCTTCATTTTCGTTCCCAGGATTACGTAGAACACTTGGGTGAACGCGAGGAATATCACCCAGAACACAACGAAGAACGACGATAGGTCTTTGGAGCATTGGGACAATGTCGAATAGAGCACTCCGATGCGTTTGTTGAAGCGCAACAATTTCGTGAACTTGAGAATCGAGATGAAAATCAAGAAACTCATCAGATAGCTGAACACTTCGTCGACGGCAGCCACACGTTGAAGTTTTACGTAGGCGTTGCCGGACGAGCGTTCGAACACCTTCAATATCTTTCGTGTCATCGCCATACGCGAGATGTAGAAGAACATGCACGAATAGCTTAGACCGAGAACAACGAGTTCCGCGATGTTCCAGTAGCTTCGCATGTAATCGAGTCGGAGAGCTCGGAAACTTTTTACTTCGCGCACGGTGAAGTAGACGATGAATCCAATGAATGAGATCTCGCACAGGAGCACGAACAATCCGAAACCTTGATGGTACCGCATCAGACGTATGGCGTCGATGCGGTAGTTCGGAACGACGCCTCCTCCCGGATGGTATTCGGCGATGATTGTAACCACACCGAACAAGTTCACCTGAATCGAGAAACCGCCGTCAACGATCGTTGTAGACTTCCGATTCCGAACTAGCATCCGACGCCTTCCCTCCCAGTCTCGGGGAACGGGGGATATTGCTCTCACACCAGAGCATTGTCAACAGCAGGGATGTCAGCCGTTTTATTGGTCAGCGCTGGAAGGATCCATTCCTGGGATGATTCGAATAAGTCCCAGAAGTCCTCTCTCCCACATTCTGGCACTTACTTGAGCGTTGTAGACCGAGAACTCGACGAAAACTGCACGAGTTCCGCCGTCGATCCAATCGGAAACCTCCAGCTCATTTATTCGCTTGATAATGTTCTCCCGGGTTCCTCGCAAACGCATGACGTATCCACCGCCTGTGCGCGAGAGACTCGAATAAACTACCTCTCCTTGCCGCTTCGTACACGACGATAGTCGACTCACGTCACCTCAGAGTGATCTGCTCCTTCGGACTCACCTCCGTAGACGTCTAGTTTCCCCCAGAAAGGAAGTCCATGCAGCTCCTTGGCTTTCTTATGTCTCCATTCTTCATCAGTGAGGTTTTTAGGGTCCAGAAGTACGGTTTTGTTTTTGGGCAGCGCCACCCATTTAGGCTCGTAAAGTTTCTTATCTTCCTTGATAAGAGACGATTGTCCACGACACTGGCTCACAACGTTGCGCATCAGTTTCTCAACCTTGCAGGAGTCTGGGGAGGGAATGGGGAACATTCGAGAGGAGCTCGACATCCAATCGCTCATCTCGAAATAAATTCGGGAGGATGGAGCGAGCGTTCCTGAATAATTCAACAGGTCCGAGGGGTCCGGGAGAAATTAGAACTCACTAGGTCTGGCTCGGATCTGTCGCAGAACTCCGTAGCCCATGATTCGATTCACTCTGTCGTTGATGAAACCGCGCAGACCGAAAGGCTGTTGTCCATTATACCAATCGCCGATTTTAAGTTGCGGCACCACCGTTTCCCGGAGGTAATTGTAGAAACCATCGGTCGATGAAATCTGAGAATTTTGAAATCCCTTCAGTATCATAATTGCAGAGTGCACCGTCCTCTCCCTCCGATATCTCAACGTCATGTCATTGGGAAAATTGGATGGATGAGCGAGTAAGAGCAGACTCGCGCAAGAAACTTCGCTCTCACCTCCATAAATTTCGGATTGTTGATGAATTCGTTCTTGAGGTTCATCTGCATATAGTAGGCGTTGGGATCGCGATTCCCGTACGAGAGTACCGTCAGGAGCCAGAGAAACAGCAGGTAAGAGAATATCTCTCTGAGTATCTCCGACATTTTCAGTTCTTTCATCCTTTCCTCGCGTACGTGATCCAACTCGCCCCTCTGTGGAGGCTTATAATTCCGTCGGCGAGCACTCGTGGCAGAGGTCCCGGCTGTAAAATGGATCGCCCTCGAATTAGTGAGCGAATCTTTATATCCAAAGCGGTTTCGAGATAATGACGGTGTAAAACGCTTGCGGCTAAGCGGAGAACCCGCAGAAAAACGTCTCCGGGTAAGAGGGATTGCGCTGATCCCGCATTTTTTTTGGTCTCAATGCTCTTTCCTTGCCGGTCTCTCGGAATAATGAAACGATTCGTTTCGCGCTCTTCCCCTCCCGACTTGCTCCGACACGGTCCTCTACTCGATCGGACTCCGATCATTCCGATGTGCTTGTTTGTAAGACGAGAAACAGCCTAGGGGCAGCATCTCAGATTCCACCGACTTCTGCCGTCGGATGGTAACGAGCTCTGGTTCCAATTGGAACTATGTGGGGAACGAACCGTCGCTGCGACAGCCAAAAAGATGTTCGGAGACGATGCGAGCACCCGCAAAGCTCTTCTGATACCGATTCTGGATCTCGTTAGTGGACGTGCGTATCTCCAGCATGCTCTTTGCTAATGACTTCGTTTGCGCCTATTCTAGCACGCTGCTCCAAACCTTCACAGGAGATCGATAGAATAGGCAGTCACGCAAAGCAGGCAACACGCTCGACTTAGATTCCGCTATCGATCTTGTTCGCGATCATTTCATGGGGATGGGACCATTCACGGAAAAAAATTCAGAGGCGAGTCCAAGATGGAAAGTATCAGACTAGCTCCTCAAATCCAATCACTCCCTAAGACTTTTCGAGCATGGCGCACGCGGGAGCATAACATGTCACGTGTGAGATCGGGACAGACATCGTCCTGCATCAAGCCCGTTGTTTTGCCAAGGGACCCTCGGCGTAAGCGAACCCGCCGCTTCTCACCGGGTCCCAAGGGTCGAATGTGCCTCGAGCCTGAGCTCTCTGATCTTGCTTCACGTGGCGCTTCGGATCGTGACTACTCTACGCTGGAGGTCTGCTCGCTCCAGTGATGCTTGCAATAATCGATTGTACAAACACGTTCATGACCGAAATAAGTCGCTAGTTATATCCATGCGACCGAGACCTCTGCGGTCCGGAAGACAATGTTGCCTTGAAGCGTCGAGTGTATCTAAAATGTTTCAAGGAAGTGTCTTACAGTGGTAGAGTCCAGCTGCGCCACTGAAGGCTTCTTCCTCGTCGTCGTCATCTTCGTCCTTCTCGGGGGATTTGAACAGCGCTGAGAGGATTATCGCTGTCATGAACACCTAAAAAATCAAATGTTCCTTCATTTACGGAATAGAGTCTTGGGAATGGACGTCCTCATTACGAGGAGCCCTCTTTCCTGCTGGGGCTTCCCGTTACATCCAACAGGCTGTCCTGGGACAAGCTGCCTCGGTTGGCTGTGCCTTCATGAGAGACTCGCGATTCGCGGTGCGCTTTCTCGGTCTGATCGGCTAGAGAATTCTGCTAGCCAGCTGCCGGGTACACAGTCTGTCATATATGATCGCTTCCCCCTCTCGTGACCACAGGAGTCAAAATTCCTTAGAGATCTCGACAAGCCGGCTCTTTTCCCCGGATTCTACTGTTTTATGCCGGTCCTCGCGCTCTAATTCATACAAGAGCTCCACTCAACCATGCGGAGGGGTGGGGAAAGACGGAGGTCAGACTGGGCTCGGAACTGAGCGAAAGAGGAATGGACAGAGTCTACTATCGAATCGACGCGTGGATCCGGGAATTCCTCCCCTCGGACTCCACGTGTCTCTCGACCGTCGTGCGATACCCCTCGGTCATCGCCTTTCCATTCCGATGGGCAGACTGACCCTCCTCAGTCATTCGTACACGCGTCGAGACTATTTGTAAATGTAGATTCCAGAAGCGTTCTTATGGGCGTCTTATCGAAAATGGAAAAACCTCTCCCTGGTAGCTTTTTCTCCGCGTGGGCTGCCCTGCTGCACATCAAACTTGATGGCCGGATTTAGAACATCTTTGTATCTGAGCGGGATCCAAAGCACGGGGAGATTCCCCCTGCACGGAATATGCGCAAGCCCCACCCATAAGCTCACCTTAATAGGCTGAGTGATGAGCACCGAAGTGAAGAACGAGACAAGGAGTGAAGTGATCCATTTTCGAGTTTTTTCGTCGCCAAATTGCACCCCGTAAGCCCAGATGAAGAACACTGATGTGAAAATCGACAAGAGACACACGGACCAGGCGACGTATCTGAAAATCGATGATCGTAATTGTAGGGGCGACATCAAGCCGGAGCAAACGAGAGAATCGACAATTGTCCACTAAAAAGGTATCGGTGCCAGTCCGGACAGTCTGCGGGAATCGTATCTCGGAGAAATAAGAGTTCGAGACAAGGGACCTGAGAAAGGATTGAGTTTCTCACCGACACCAGTATGGGAGCGTCTTTTTCTTTGAAGCTTTCTTCTTTCTATCCTTTTTCATTGTCACCATGTTGATATCGGTCTCGCTACCGTCCTTCGCTTGCATGAGATCTGTGAAAAGTGAAGTCAAACAATCTGCCTGCAAAATCTCGGCATCCGCGACACGGGCTCTGTGCCCGGGGAATTCGCACGGGATCTGATGATGTTTTTGTTGTCACAAGCATTCCAACAGTGGAGCTAAATTCTAAATGTCGCCATACATCACGAGCCGGGACAGCAAAGAGCTGAGGCATGACAGCTTTCTGAGGCGGCGAGGCGGACAGCCCAGGGTTCCAGGACCCACTCACCAGTTGTCGAGTCCGTGGCTTTGTTGCTCGAGCCCCTGCCGACTATGAGCGAGTTTTTGCGCTGTTTTTTGAGCGCCTCAACGATTCGGTTCGGACGCTTCCTGCGCAGACGCGCCTTGCGGAACAGTGTAATCATCAAGAAGGTCGGAGGGAACACGATAAGGTTGGCCAAAACCCCAACGCCAACTTGTTCGGGCGAGAGTGCGAAAGGTCCGATATTTAGAGCGGATGCTGAGGAACGGAAACGCACTCAGGTGAGAATTTCGATAGCGGAAACGTCGCTGACAATCCTCAAAAGAAAGCGTCCTCTCGAGGATCTGAATCGGCACGAGAATCGGGTCGAGAGACGTATGCGAGGACGATATGGAACGAGCAGCCGTGAGGCGAATGGTGTCTGTCTGTAGGGTCCTGTGGCGCCATTTCGTCGGGCGAGTCGTTCTGCATCTTTCTTCCGCCCGGTGCGTTTCCCTCATGATGTTCTCACCTGATGGTTTCGATGGAACCCGGCCGTACCACATCGCATTGACCAGCATTGAGAGGTATAGAAGAGCGATACAGCAGGATACTCGTTGACACCGCGTGAAGCGGCTCTTCGGAGGTCGGAGGAATACCGAAAACCACAGATGGCCGTCGGCGAGATTTTTCTGACTTTTGAGTTGGAAGAGATGATTGAACTCGGTGGCTTCTTCCTTGCCTGCGAAAAGATTCCCTCGGGAATGAGAATTCGCTCCCGAATCCAATTGAGTTGCGACAAAGAGGTCCGCAACTGAATGACCGACAGACGTCAGAAGTTGCCGATGCAAGTGTGCCGAAGTTTTGCGACAGCGACTTGAGGGCTCGGTCGTGACCACTCTCGGATCGGACTCTTTTGAGGGCAAAAGTCTCTGACGGAATGAGCCCGGACTTATCTCCGGAAGTCACCGCTTGATGGAAAAAGGAGCGCTCCCCACAATGACGATATCGAGTCCCTGAGGACCGCGGTCGGTTGTCGAGCTTTCATTGCATGTCGAACTTCGGGTCATTTGCATGCGGCGCTTCCAACGCCTCGAGTATTCGAACTCACCCGCAACAGGCAGTAGACGATCGACCTGACCGTCATCCTTCTCCACTGCAAACCAACGGTTCGCAATAAAGTCGTAGCGCGCGTTCGTCTGGACGTCGCGTATCGAGATGAATTTCAGATACCACGATCTGGGAAGGGGGAAAAGAATTGATTATTCCGCGTCGACCGCGGGAAATATCCCTCATAGAACGTTAGCCCGATTGCAGTGTTTAATTTTCGAGTCCGGAGATTCTTCGGAGAGCCCGTGGCGGCGTGCACTATCCTTCTTCATTGTAGGACGGAGACGGCTTCGAGAGGCGTGACCTGCTCGATTATTTTCGCGCTCAGCGACAAGGATAAAATATCGAGGAGCATTTCTCGATTCGGAGTACTTTTGTTTCACGGAATGGCAGCGGTCGTCATTCGGAATGACATCGAGTGGCTCGTCGGGTCCGGAGAATTTTTCGATGGTGGAAAAGGGCTCCCAGTTAGAGCTCCGATGGATAGTGCACATGTCGTTTTCTATGTCAGTTAACCGCTTCAAGAGAAGCTCGAGAAAACAGCAAACTAAGGGGGCTTTGCGGCTGAAGGACTTCCCGCGGCAGAGACCAACGGAACTCGGAACTCGAACCTTCTAAAAAAACGGGTTTTCCGAAGAAAGCAATCCGGGTAGAGGAAAGCGGCGCGATGGCAAGTTCTATGACAACTTCACAGCGGTACGAGCACCACCAGGAATGAGAACGCCGCTCGGGAGATTTGTTCCGCAGAAGTGAGGGACGCTCGAATGGAAACGAAACAGCCTCGGATCAATTCCACAACATTGGGCGCGCACATGACTCGTTGCAGGAGATTCTTGTTCACCGACAGAAACGTTGTTGGTCGAAGAAGGGACACCCTCGTAGTTCAAAAGATCGGAATGAAGAGTTTCCCTCGGTACTCGCTGCCGAACACTCGTCCCCTCGAGGGCCCTCATCCAGCTGAGCGGCCAAACTCTCCTGACCGCGACGGTGGTACTCACCGGAATTTCCCTTTGCCGGAATTGTCGTGCCAGATCCGCATATAATTCAGTCTCCCGAGAGGTTTCGGGCAGGCCATTACGAATGTGTCTTGGCCTCCCCTTCGGAAGAGTTTGCTCTTTGAGTCGCCGAAAGACCTCGCATCCGTCTCGTCGTCATCCCCACTGAGGATGAAGAAAATCCTCGAATCCGTTGCGGCTCCGTCTTTATCGCCGGTGAAAACGGTCAGTTCGTACAGGTAGTTGTCGCGATGATCGTTGTCCGGCAGAGGATGAGCACAAAGCTGAAATGAGATATAGGGAGAAATAAATTATCGGATGGACACACGGAAACGCGTCATGCCCCGACAAAGAGAATCACATTATGGAGAGATAATCTTCGGTAGGAAGGAGGAGAGCGGAAAGCTTTTCTTCTATCCAGCTCCGGACGGCCACGATAAGCACGATCCCTCCTTCCGGAAGTATTTTATATTATAAGCTCATGATAACGGCTGCGAAGATCGCCGCCGTGTCCGCTACTTAGTTATCATCGCGCAAAAACATGTTTTCCCCGCACCACCCGCTGGAAATCGAGGTTTGGTACTGTTATTGCCCAAGGAGGGTGACCGCCCATGCGAGGATCGTGAGGCTGAGATTGCTCGTAAAGTTGCCTCGTTCGAACAGTCATCGTCATGTTTCAGTGCAGCGAAGCCTTCGTGTCGTGGAGCTCGCCTCACTCGATCGTTTGATCTCTTTGTCGATCGACCGAAATAGGGGAAATCGAGCAAGGACTGTGTATCACCAAACGGATATGGGAATCCGATGTTTCTGCGACGAGGTACGCAGCATTCAAACAGATCTCAAAACACTCTCGTATTGATTGAGTTTCTTTGTCGCTGCGAGAAAACTTTAGCTTGGGCGCTCGGATAGCTGTAAATACGTTTCTGACGGGTCAGAGGGCTCAGAATCAGGGTTCATCGAACAGCGATGACAAGAACAGAGAGTCGTAGTGTTCGCAGACCGCAGGCTCTCCCCCTCGAATGCTCCGTGCGAGCCCCGATCCGCAGAGAGGAACGAAAAGATTCATGATCGTGTCTTCGGCCTGCGGAACCAATCGACAGTCGACAAAACGGATGCTGGCACGACCCAAGCGCCGGAAGACTACTCGATTTATTTGGCGCTCTCTCATACGCCGCTTATTTCCCCCTTCATCGGAATCATCTCCCACAATGACCTCGACGATTCCCATGACTTGACTGCTGCGCTTTCTTTTCTCACCTTCTCGTTGTCTCTTAGATCTTCTCGTCTCGCCCAGATGAGCAGCATCAGATATATGAGCATCGTGAGGATGACACACATGTAGATGGTGACGTTGTCCGCGAATCCGGCGTTGGCGAATACGTACGCAAAGTCAATTGTGTTCGGAACTACGAAGAATCCGGAGCCGAAACTAGTGAGATGGTCACACTTGCAGTACGTTGCCAGATAGTTGGCATTGTCCACCTGGGGGCGAAAATTCATCAGCGGAGTGCTTGACTGCACGGAGTTGGAACTTTATGCAGATCTGAGTTCATTAGTAGCTGCTGCCATGTGTAGTGGTGCGCACACCGACGTGTTTTGAGCCTAACAGTCGGATCATGACATTTCATGAAAGATCCGAAAGGCGGAATAAAAGTTTTCGGCGCTCTCGTAGTGTTCTGAACTCTTTTCATTTCTCTCGAAACGGGTTCTCTAATCTTCGTGTCTGACGGCGAGGAAAGTTTTTCCGCCGTCCGAGAAGAAGCTCCGATTCTCAAGCGGGTACCCTCGAAGCGGGGACCTTCTCGAGGAGATGAACATGGATCTGAACTCCAAATACTCACGAAGCAGCCCTCGCCGGACCAAGTTTTGGATTTTTTGTTGAAGAAATAACATCCCGAAGTGTAGATTCGGATAGAGTAATCCGTAGAGAGTTGACGTACAACTTCGCTTTCGGTCAAATTGAAGTAAGCGCTCCCGTTCACAGTCGTTTCCGTGACGGGAACTGTGACGTTAGTTTCCGTGATGCCGATGTAGAAGAAACCAGTCCTGGAAAAGCGATGCTCATTGATGAAGACTTGGAACAATTCGATCTCGCTTGGACAGCACCGATCACTCATCTCACGCCCCTGCTGTTCCCCACAGAGAACTCGCAACAGTCCCGGGCTCAGAACTCCCACAGCTCCATCGGAGTGGTCCCGCGTCCGATCCGGAGTTTCTCGGGAATCGTTTCCGGAAAGCAACGTAATCCGATTGTGTCCCGATAAAATGCTGGCCGGAATCCCGTACGGTGTAACGGGTTCGTTCCGGAATGATCTCAGCCTTTTCGAACTGCGAATCTAGATCGCGAGACTTGTTGAAGCCGCAGCGGATAAGCCCGAGACGTCGTCGTGGACGAGCGACGGGGACACAAATACAGCAGGGAAAAGAGAGAGTTCGCTTGTTCTATGGGCCTAGGGAGGATGGCTCCTCTGTCCAGTCGATCTCGAGGGCAATCTCGGGAAGAGAGGATATGGCCACGCAAAACATCGGTCCACTCGCCAGCTGCGCCGAAAAGTAGGACGGGACTGTAATGATCTGGTGCGTGAACGGGCCATTCCAGTTGTGCACAGCTTGAACGAATGAACGGGTGCGTGCAATTACAAGTTTCGGGATGCGATATTATTTCTCAGAACGGAAACTCGAGGGGATCCTTCTGAATTGCTCGCCTTCCTTCGCTTTTCCCGTCCCGACGGGGAGAAAATGCGAAGTTCTGTCCAAGTCTCTCCTCAAGTCAACTCCAGTCCGTGCAGTTCCATCAAGCCGAGTCAGATATTTTTCAGCCCGTCTTCCAGAGCTTCCTGCCCTCCCCTCAATTTCTCCACCCAGCCTTTCTCTGACTCAACTGCGGCATCTTCTCTGCAATCACTTGGGATGCAATGACCGTGGAGCAAATTCAAATTACTCCGGCACCCGACGCGTAGCTTAGCATAGGGTGAACAAAAGAGGTGCAGCATCGAGAAGCTCAACGCAATACGGGGACGACGGAGCACGCGTCTATGCGCATACAGTCTAGTCCTGCACTGGGAGCCAAACAAGGCGCCGTCATATTTCAAAAGGGAGCAGGTGACGTCGGAAGTTTCGACAGCTTTGAGACTGGTGCAAAAAACGGGGATTTTCTCCTGGAATTAGAGTTCAGTCTCCATCAGGAGAATATTGAAAAGCGCCGTCCAGGAACTCCGGAGCGAGGGATGAATGAAGACAAGGGCAGGACGACGAGCGACGAGGGAGCTTCGAGCCGCACGTCTCCGACTTAGAACGTGAGATGGGCCATGATAGAGTTCTTGAAGAGCAGCCGGCGTTCCCTCGAATCCGACATAGATAAATTGCCCAGTCGCATGTTGACGGAGTCCGGGTGAGCTCGGGAATCCATGCCGGCGGCGTGACTCTTCGCCAAGGACTCGAAATTCCGAAACTTTCCGGCTGAGCCAGAATCGGACTGCGAGACTGAGCGACCACCTCGAACGTTGCAGTCAGATAGCTACGTAATCAGTTCGGCTTCGAATAGCGATGCAGCTCGCTGAGGGAAGGCTCCCGTCTAGTGTCTGTTCCTCCACAATATATATCCTCGAGTCTCGTTATACGAGAAAAAAATCCGCCGACATTTCTCGAGCTATCGTGGAGCTCATGCAATTCAAGCGAGCAACAGTAGAGTCGTGCGTTGTGGGAAAACGCCCTGAAGGAGAAAGAATGCGCCACGTTGTTCTACTCGAGCGGCGGATATGATTCTAGCTGTCACCTGTTGTCGATGGCGAAATTGTCCAGGAAAATGTCGTAGGTTCCGTTAGCGTTTCTCGCCTGGCTCAAGTTGAACACCATGTCAAAATTGTGGAGCAACGGTTTCTCGCGGTGTTTGATGTAGACCAGCAAACGAGAATGATCCGGACTATCGGGAGTAATCTCGATGTTCACCGCCGAATCCGGTTTGGGCACCAGGAACTGATGGTAAACCATCTGCTCATTCCACTTCGGCTCCGGTGAGAAATGAATCGGTTCGGGCAAACCCTGTGAAGGACAAGTACTCGATCAGGTGACGAGAAACAAGTCTCGGCCCTTCGCAAAAACTCGGACCTTCAGTATGTGCACAGTCGAAGGCAGAAGGTTCCTACCGTCCCATTCTCGCCAGAACTCTTGCGCGGCACGATGATCGTGAAGTGATCGGTCGTGTTGGAAATATCGATCGGAGTAAGCGAGTCGTCAAGAACGATGAGTTGGAGAGTTTTGGAATCCTTCGACAAAACATCGACGGACCCTCCATAAGATTGGAGAATGGCCGGCCAGGAGACAGCCTGCAGAAAATAGAAACCGTAAAGTTTGGTCGGCCTGTCGCCCACGTCGTTATCATCTCTCGGCGGTTTTCGTCAGCTTCGGCCGGTTATTGTGAACCGCTGCTTGGGCCGCTCGTCAAAGCAGCGGTTCTGCTCCGCAGACGGGGAAAGTAGCAGCTTTGCCACGCAGACGGGAAAAGTAAGCATACCGTAGCGGCATAAGAAAGGTGAGCGACCCCGGTTGCACAAACATCAAGTCGCAGCTTAAGCTCCCTTAGACTAGCCCTTGTCGGATCCCCCTAAATCTTCATGAGGCTCTGGGCCCTACAGAAAGAAATAATTCTCCCATGAGCTTCAACGGAGGTGCAAGAGAAATTAAATCTTTCACCGAGCGAGCTCCTAGCGAGAGTTCAGGGGAATCGCCCGTATTCAAGGTCGACCGGAGATCGTTTCAGGAGCCACTTGCAACCCTCGACGACGACATCAAGCTCGACGCATTTGAGCTTAACTGAATCGCGGACAGGGTCTCAGTCGGGACGTGGTATAATAATCCTATTACGAGTGATCTTCCGTGTCTGACCGACCGAGGAAGCGCTCAGAAATTCACTGCCTCGCTCACCATGATTCCGAGTGTCTCGTTTCCGGCACAGCTCGCTTGGTTTGCGAGCATGTCGCAAACTCCGGGGAAGACGTAAACGGCATCACCGTGCTGGATCGCTTTGCCGCTCAGAGCGCCGCCGCTGAACCTTCAAGGCGAAAAACTCGTGTTGCTGTTTTGATTTCGCGATGCTCCGTCAACCTCACTCGGCTTTCGAAATATCGATTCCTGATATAGTCCATCTATTGGAATATTCGGATGATAATGAGCCTCGGCCTTACATGGAGATGGTCATGGCCAGTCCGGATGGCGCCGAGAATTCCAGAGGGCGTTCGCCCACGATGATATTTCTGAGAATGGCGAGTACCATATCGACAGTGAGCTGGATCATGGTCGTAATTTGAGCTTCGGCAGCTTTGCGTTCCTCGAGAACAACAGCGCGCTCGAGCGCTTTGTCCATTGGCATCGTTCCATCGAATAGCGCCTCTGGAGTTGAGAGGAGGAATATTTTCAGCTTGTTTCACTTGTTTATTCTTGTTTCGCTCCAACAGAGGGTTATCGAGTTTTCCAATCCTCGGAAGTCGCTAGACCGGCTCTAGAGAAAGCTGAACCTTCTGGACGGGCTGAGCAGTAGAAGGAATGGAGTAGAAAAATGATTGAATGGTGCTCTTGAGCCCGTCAGACTTCTGAGAGAGAATTCTCTCGTCTCCTCATTCCGTCCGAAGGATTGTAGCCTCTACGGCGACGAGACGAGCGAGCGAAACGGCATCGGTATTGACTCCGCAGACTACGCTCGTCTCCTCACGGTTCCAAAGTCACTGAGAGATCTAACCTTTTTCTTCTTCGCCTTCCAAAGCGATCTCAGTGTCATATTCAATATTTATTGCTTTTGCGCGATCCGTCGGCATCACGGTTCCTTCTAGAAGTTGTTGAGTCATTCTCTGTAAATAGACCCGGAAGCCTCATGAGGAGCCTCTTTCTAATTTTTTTTTCTCGGAATCGAACTCTCAGCGCCGCGACGACGAAAGAAGATTAGCGCGGAGTCGGTCGAGGCGGGATCTCGCTCCCGGAACGGAACCTCCCGAATCTGGATGAGACCCCGATTGCAGGAATGCCAAAATTATTCGGCCGACATGCGTCAGATCGAGAAGAGGGTCCTCGCCACAGCCGCCGTCAGAGGCGAGCTGAGAAAAGCAGGAAAACTTACCGCCACGATACCCCCCATGGTTCCGACGGCGTACATACAGAAGTCGAGCAGCTGCTGAGGTGCCTCCACTTTCATGGTTTTTGCAAGCTTGACAGTTTTCCTCAGCAGTTTTATGATAAGTTCCTTGAAGAGAACATCAGTCGAGTCATTTAAAATCGACTCCATCGCGTGTTCCTTCTGCCTCGTCAGTCAGAGCAGCTGGGCATGTCGATTCGACGACGTGAACATTATCAGTAAGTCTCGTCTCTGCATGAGTCGAGAGCATCGAACGACGCTCCGAGGAGACTGTGACGTTTCATGCAAATTCTGCGCGCAGCATACCTTTCCTTCGTTGTCGACTCCCGTCCCGTCTCCAGCAATGGCAGTCAGCGCTGAACCGACTTGTTCAATCGAATTGAGGGTGTCCACATTCATAATGGAAGACACTGATCGAATCATCCTGGACCGGAGGATCGCCTGTTCTTCAATTTCCTTGTCCATCAATTCTGCGGGGAGGGGGGGGGGTGAGTTTAGGTGCACTTCAATCCAAGGTACACGTCTGTATGTTCCGTTGATTTCGGATGGGGCTCGAAGTCAGGCGACATTTTCGATGCGAGGAAGGATACTTCACCAACGATTAGGCACAGGTATTCACAACAGAATGTGAACGCAACGCGCCGGTCAACTGAGTATACTCATCCCTCACTGCGAGTTCCCCCCTACCTGCACTCGGCAAGCTGCGGCTCTACAAGACGAGATGCTTCGACTCTACGAGCTGCGGCCCAATTAGCGAGAATGGACTCCACAGGAGTCTCATAGGCCAACGAGATGTTCGACCGAAGTATCCTCAAGGAAAAACCGTCGATACGCCTGATCTCATGAATCTCCCGAACCACGCTGCCCCGATTCCGAGCGTAGATCGTCCGAAGTATCGCGGAGAAGCTCCATTGCGTCGACGGATCAAGAAAACGAATGATTCCGCCTGGATCGGGGTCTCCACGGGAACTCTCCCGGAATTCCCGCGGGAGCATCCTCCGGAAGCTCCATCTCGGAAAATCGACCCTGCATGATCCGCACATCCCCCGCTGGACGATTAAACTCTCGAGAGCTCCCATTTCCCCAGGAATGCGCGGCGGATCGAACAAGTGATTCCGCGCAGTTTTAACGCGCATTCCGAGTGACGTCTGTGATTGAGCCATCCACTCTTCGACGGGGAAACCAATATATGGGATCCCGTCTTATCGATGCGCCCCACAAAGCATCCAAGGACTCATCCGCGGCGCCCGTTCCTACACTATTGAGTCGACAATCAGCCGGTCGATCAACGAGCAAGCGCAGCAGCTCCACCGTTCGGCTGTGACTGCGTATACTCAGAGTCCAATCGTATAAGCTCCATTCGGATCGAGAGACTCGACGATCGGACAAACCGCGGCTTGGTCCAAGTGAATGATCGAGCTAACGAGGTGGCTTTCCGCCTGAGGAACAAACAGCTCGCTTGACGTTATCGTTCCAAGCTCGCTTTGTCGCCTTCGACTCTGGTACACCACTCACAAAATATCCGAACGTCCTCCGTCGATCCGTCGCTTGCCGTTTCTTTCCCTTTCAAGGGGAGGAGGGGGGAAGTAATTATAGGAGTATTCCCTGCTTGGTACGTAGGCGTGGTAGGCGAACGGGATCCGATACTCTTACGACTCCCTCAGGCCCGCCGTCATAGATTTCCTCTCTATGGGAGGTTCCCGCTTGTTGACTCGGAATATAAACATGCATCTTCGCTCTTGACTGCGTTGCATTGCATAATTGTTAGATTCGCGTCAAAAAAAAAAACATGCAGTGTATTCTATGCTGACTACTCACCTGTGTTATTGTAGTCCAATTCGATTTCGTTCTCATAATCGTCATGGAGTCGAACGTTCATGAGCGAAGTGATCGCTTGAGACATCTGATTCATTTTCGCTTGATCTCCGGCTGCGTCTGCATTGTCCAGACTTCTGTCGTTCAAGTAGTTTTCGAACTCGGTCTTGGTGGGCAACCGCGTCTGGATCCTTGTCATGTTCAAGCGAGTCGTCGCTCCCTCCTTATCTTTGATGTCGGCCCCGACCAAGAAATCTCCGTAAGGTAGCATCAAGTGCACGGTGTGGTCGGGTCCGTAGGTCAAGAAGGTCAAGACGTCGTTTTCCATATTACGCACTGTCGGAAAGAGAAGAGAACCACCAGTTGAGAAGGCGAATTCTTCGGGGACTGTGATCTTTCATTCGTAGAGCTTCGTAGTTCAATCTTCAATCAAAGTCGCTCACCCCAGAAGGCAAAGAACTCGATGTCGAAACCCTCGGGGTCAGTCCAGCCTGAACAGCTGGCAGTGAATTTGTCCAGGAGGGCTCGTCCCTCTTGGGGACTGAATGAGCACGATCCGTCTTGCGGGGGTTTGTTAATGTGCAAGAAAAGATCCGAAACGCCAGATACGCCATATTCGTTGGCGACCGTCAGTTTGGCGATGAAATCACCGAACATCGGATAGTAGATTTTGAAGAAATCGTCTGGAAGGAACGCCTATCAGTGGATCGTCACGTCTGAACGAATGACAAACCTCTATGTTTTCCTGCGGAATGGATTAGAAGATTCCCCGCGGATCGTACGAAAAGAATCGAATCGATCGGCTAACCAAAGATCTTTAGATTAGCGGAATTTTCTGCAGCGTCCCTGCGATAGCATATGTGTTTCTGCCGAGAGCGCGGATGATGGATCCACCCCAGCGAAGGGAGAGCCGGCGACCGGAAATGAGTTCCCGTAGTTTTTTCTTCGCCGCACCAGAGACCCGGTCCTGTTCTTTTTTCCCCTCGCGAAGTTGTTCGTCTCCGCGAAGACAAGCCACTCCCCAGAAGCATTACTCCATATCCATCAGGGTCCGAGTTTCTCGGGGAAAGCCCCGAGAGCCGGATTTTGATTAAAGTGTTCGGTCAAAAACTCCGATATCCCGTGGCTCGGATTCCGAAGCAATCATTCGGAATAACTCACCGGATAAGGCCATTTTTAGTTCGTTGGCTCCAACAAGATATTGCGGAGCGTCCTCGAGAGGAACCTCGGTTTCGTTCTCAGATCCGAACACCTCCCAGGTGTAAACGAGCTCGCCGTCGCAGTTCTCCGAGCAAACTCCCGTGAGACCAACACGGACCGGGTTGATTTTCTGACCGATCGGCTCGAACGGATAGCAGAGTTTCTCTGTTTGACATCTGAATTCAATTATGAGCGGGAAGTGAGTGAGGGAACGACACCGACACAGATGCCGACCGTTTACTTCCGATCCCTCCGACGGTTTTCCGCCGGCTTTTCGTGTACGAAACGATGTCGATGGGAGAAGCTTCCATTATGGTCGCAAATCGATCTTTTCGTTCGACCGATCCATCCGGCTCGGTCTCGCCGAAACGTCGAGAATATACGAATCTAGGTGAATGTCATCATCGATGGTATACGTATCCGGAAAGGTCTGCTTACTTGACAGTGATCGAGGGCGGTACTTGTTCCAGCAGGACTACTTGAATGGCGCCCCAAGACGGAGGGCGGTCCCCCTTGTCGATGTGGACCAGGACTTCGTAGGTTTCGTTCGGCTTGAAGAACAATAAAGTGCTCCACTCGAGGAAACCTGTCGAGATGTTGATCCTGCCCGGTCCGGTGCCAAAACATCCGCCCTGGAATATATTGATCGATCAAGCTCAGTCATGACTCATGACGAACTTCCGGAAGCTTATAATTCGTTTCGCAGCGTTTTTTTTTCGCGCCCTCATGCCTGTTCCAGACCGACGCGAGGAAGATTATCCGTCTACCATATGTCTGTTCATCCCCCGACCACGAGAATCGGCGAGAGCTCGAATCGGGAAGCGAAATAATCTATCTTGGCAGCGCTACTCACATCATCCCTAGCGTTCTCTTTGGCTAGGTAAGCCTTCGGATCGAAACTCCTTCCCTGCTTGAGAATTCCTGGCAAGTCCTTCAAACGATGGTACAAGGGGTTGACGATTGGCTGTTTATCGTGCGGAAGACTTCTGTCTATTTGCTCGCCGAGTCCCACGCGTCGACAGTACCAAGTGATACTGAATTCCTGATTGAGAAAAAAAGTACATCATCGCGAGCGGAACGAACAAGCTCTCCGAGCCCATATTCGTGACTCCTCTTGAGAGCGGGCTGTCGATGCCCCGAGTCTATTCGATGTCTCGATGGCTGCCACGTCCGGAATCCGGAAGCCTTCGACTGCGTTCCTAAGAACGTCACCGTACAGTGACAACAAATCGATATTATCATGACGGACTATTCCGTCACGCGCTCATTGATTCCCCCGAGGAAGAGAGTTTTGCTCTATTATCGGCTGAACGAGATTCTTAATGGATCTTCGGACAAGTGAGGACGATTCGGCGAATGTTCCCAAGAGAGGTATTGTCTCTCCCCATAACGCTTCTCATTCCCAGTCGAACATTGAGCACAGTCCAGCTCAGAAGTCGCTATCCGATTTCGGCTGTTAAAAACGGGAATTTATGCGAGGATAGTTGTTCTTAAAACAATGAGTGGTTGTAAGGCTCCTCCCACCCAATCTTCTAATGAGCGAGCTACGCTCGGACGAAAGCGCTACGTGGAAGATTTTTGTGCACTCTCTCGTATCCCCAATGAACCTACCATGTCGTCAGGGTCGTCTGGGTTGATCGAGTAGTTGGCGGGATTCAGAGCCAGGGTTTGCGGAAATCCGCGCGTCACCCTCGACTGAGCTCCCTCAGACATTTGAGGAATAATCAATGAAGGTTTGATCTCGATGAACGTCTCAACCCACTTGCGATGGAACATCGGAGGACGAGCCGTTGGAGCTGAAATAAAGGGATCGCTTGTTCGAGACTTTTCAATCAGACCGGAGTGATTCGCAGTCAGGATCGATGCGGACACCCCGGACGAGACTGCGTTTTTTTCGATTCTCGAACTGTTTATTCTTTTTGCGGAGATTAACTATCCAGCGGGTAGCTCGCTCACCGCTCATGTTGACGTTGTATCTCAATTTGTAAAATCCGGGATCAAAGAAGAACTCGGGAACGTAGAGCATCGATTTGGTAAAGGAGTCCAGTTCCCTGATATCGATCTCGTGTATGACCCGACCGTCGTTTTCAGGGTCGACCAAAAAGGCTTCCCACCGTCGGGACACGTCGATCGAGATGTTGCACTCGAGTTCTGTGGATGGATGAGAAAATTTTTAGAGAATAGCGACATAGGAAAGGACTCTCGAATGAGAGACCCTCGAAAAATACTCTCTGCGGGCGAGGAGACGCTGCGGAGAAAGAGGAGGCGGGGAGACGCTCAGCTTCCTGCAATTCGGTTTTTCGGTCTTCGAGACTGTCAACCGATGATGAGTCTTCTTGCGGTAGACAAGGGAGATACAGCAAGGGATAATCGACACGCAGCGGCGATCGCCAGCCGATGCTACGATGCTCCACTCGGACCCCCCCCCGAAGCTGAGTCAGGCTTGTCGCCTTTATCCCTAATCCCATTCCAACTTCGTGCAAAAAGCCCCAACGCTCCGAAATACCGTCTCTAGGCATCGGGATGATATGAAATACCGTCTCGAGGATAACCATAGCAAGAGGGAGCGAGCCCGACTTTCGAGAACGTCAACGGCTGTTTATATCACTTCCACGGATATCGCTGACGCTGACGGCAGATGCACAAGTTTGATCCTCGATCGGTCATTCCGTCAAATCCGCCGCTTGCCGGGGAACAGCAGTCGAAAGCATTCAAGTCCCAAGCAGTGCTTCATCCGGGCAAGATAATCGGGAGAAATCATCCTGGCTGCTGATTTCGCGATATCGTCTGGTGGGGGCTGCCGGAAACAGATTCGAGACACCGAAGGGTGTCGCCTAGAGGAAGAAGGCGAGAATCGCTGACACAGAGGGTCTGCCAGTCTACGTCCGCGAAACAGGTCGAGCATGCGCTGGCGACAGCGAGTCTAAACCCGATTTCTATCCTGATTACGTCGGACTTTAGCCGCAGCCTCTACTCGAATGAGCCGTTCAGATTACTGCGTGGTGATTCTCTCAGCATAATAATGCGCGAGAGGCCGCGCAATATCATCGTCATAGCCGCTTCACAATGCGCAATACGGAGAGTCGTCCGAGCACCTTGATCACGGGAGCATATGCGCCGATGGGAAATGTGATCCCCGCTCTATTCATTAGGTTTCGCCATCGGATCGACGCGCCGATGTTGCCAAAAAGAAAGTCGCATCACGATCTAGGAAGATGAATGCGGCGTGACGCTGCGAGCCCGTGACGGTATCTTGTGGAGGGGACAACGAGCGTTGCCCGTCGGCTGTTACATGCATGGAGCAGATGCAACTAATGGAATCCGGAGGAGAGAATTCGATGTCATTCGAGACGTGATCTATTAGGAACAAATCTCATCCCCGAACCCTACGGGGGACTCCCGAGCTTGAACACTCAACCGCGGTGAGCGTTAATCACATCACGGCAATTACTATGACAACTATCGCAGTGAGATGCGTCCATACCTCCTCTTTAATAATCATCGGAAATGACTGTTGAGCTCGAGATTCGGCTCGTGTCTCAGCGGCCATTGGGTCTACCAACCTGTGAAGGTGTAGAGCTCCACAGCTTTGTTTCGGTACCAGAAAGATGCGTTATTCACATCCAAAACTTGGTTTCGGATTTTGAGAACTGGTGCTTTGCAGGGCTCATTATTCACGGTAAAATTGAACGAGCGGACCTCGTCGGATATCTCGTTGAAGGCCGTCAGAGTGAACGCGTAGTCGAATCCTCGGTCGTAGATGTTGGTCAAGAGCAGAGGATTCGCGAGATCGCCCTCGAACTCAAATTCTTCTGGCTTGTACCTGGAAATACGGAGGAGAGGCTTCAAGTCTCCAGTCTCCAGTTGCCTTCAGAACGTTCGAATTCTTCGGGAGTCGATTGAATCGAAAACTGATTATTGTCTGCTCTACGCTGAAAATCAGGAGAATGGCATTGAGCTCTGGTCCGTCAGGTCGATCATGCTAAATGAACCTCTGGTGGAATACGCGGAGGCACCGGCTGGCTCTGTAGGACACGAAAACAATTGGAGCTCCATATCCAGACGAATAGCAACGGAATTCCATGATTGATTGCTTATGTTTTCCTTTGGACAGACGTCGTGGACTACACATGCATGGATATCATGTATTCCATCGATGCTCGGAGATAGGACTTTTCCGGCCTCTGCGAGTAGGCGGGGCCGATAGCGGCTATCCTCGAGATGATGTTTTTGTGGGGCATGCTCCACTACAACTTCGTCGAGAGCCTGAATCGAACGTCGCCGATATCACCGGGGTATTGCTTTCGTGAACGGATGCGCGGCTCGGAGTGCCCGAATGGAGAAATGATGTATATTCTCTGCCGGCGGGCGGAATCTAGGCCGGGCCAGCTAGAGCGGTGTCGACGCAGAAATGCGGAGATCCCCACGCAAAACGCTAGGCGTGCTGTGCTCACGAAAATCTCGTAGCTTTTTTCCTCGCTCCACTTCATTCTCCATGACGCAGAAAGTATGAGGGAGGGGAGTTTGCGAGCGAGATGCGTGTTGCGCGTCTCGTGGGATTTCCATACGCGACAGTCATAACGTGAAGGCTCCGGCAATGTTCCGCTTCGGGTTTATTTGATTTTGTGGAGGAAAGTAAGGAATGTCTCTCCAGAATAATGGAGATGGCTCACCTGCTGAAGCATTGACTCCTAGAGCCGTAAGCCCTCAGAGCTGTGCTGTCGCCGTAGTCAACGACGACACAGGTGTCGCTTCCTTTGAGCATGAATGAAACCACAAAGTTCCGGATGTACTCGTCCTTCGGGGTCGTCTCGTTCATGTAGACACTCAGACCTGCCGGGGGAAACGAACGAAAAATGTTCACAAGCGCAGCGAGCTACTCGATTTACACCGATTCCGATGAACACCCCCGTGAGAAGATATTGCTTGGCTTATCTCGAGACGGACCTTCAATCGGTTCCATCACCCGGAACGAGAGGATGTAGGGATCCGTTCGGTGCTGGACATGATTCCATGCGTACACGAAGATATCGTACTGTCCAGGTTTCTGGAACGACAGTTCATACTGGCGCTGGGAAGCCGTTCCATTGGCGAGGAGTTGACCTGCGGGATTGAGGAATTCGAATTTCGATCGCAATTTTTTCTATTTATTGTCCCGCTCCGATCGAGCGCCGCGTCGCCGGAACCGAGCTCGAATCGGATACCGAACATCCCTTCCAAGACAGCTCTCCCGGAACGGACTTTCGGACCAGATCGCTCGAGGATAACTCCGCTATGCTCTCATGACTGGCAATTCGCTCTGGATCCGCTGAACGCAGAAAGTCTATTTCGTGAAGTCAATCGTGAATGGATCGTATGACAAAAATCTGTCTCGACTCGGACTCCGATTGACTCTTCAGAATATTCTGTTCAGAATTCAATATCTGAAAAACCTACCCTTTTTAGTCTCTAGGAAGAAATTCTCGACAAGACCAGCGGCCAGCTTAATCGATACGGTTATCGGTCGCGTGGTGAGGAAAATGTCGCCCTGCGTTCCTAAACCATTAAGGAATTCTCCACCGTCTTCCCGTTGGAATTGCATTTTAGCGGTCAAGCCTTGCGCTCTCGTAGCGATTTCGACCTGAGAGAATCATGGATTTGATAAAATCTGCCGCGAATTCACATGCTGGATATGTGTCCCTCGTTCGTCACGGCAAGTAACTTACACGCTCGGTGAGCACATGGTGAGAGATTTGATTCGATATATTGATTTGAATGTTGTAGAATCCGGGCTTGAGATACGTGTGAACGAATTTCTGACTGATTTTATCCTCGACCTCGTTCGGGACCTTGGGAGTAATCGAACATGCTTTCGTAGCTCGTAAGCTCAACAGAACATTGGAGCCGTTGCCTTGGTCTCTCATCATAGACACCGTTGACGAAATTAAGATTATAGGAAAGAGGTGGAGCGTACCTTCCATTTATCCTTCTGTTTGTCGCCGAAATTTATCCGGACGGTGGCATCGGTCGGGAGTTTCGCGGTTTTCGGATATGTGAGCGTGAGATGGACGGGCTCGGGAATTATGACCGGAGCATTGGAGAATACCTTGCGAGTAAAAAAAATGCTGAGGAATTCTCTTCAGGAAGCACGTAAGTATGATATTTCAGATGCGCCCCTTCAACGGTCGTCGACGAATATTATTTTCATCATCATTCCAAATATCGGTTCCGTCCTCTATTCACCTCCCAAGACTCCGTCACGGGACGTTGAACAACAACTGACCGTCGAGCCACGAAAGATCCATGGAGATTCGACGAATTCACCTGTCATCGAGAAGAGATGAGCGTCTTGTCTGTTATTCCTTTTCTTCCGGACTCAGACGGAGAAAGAATCGACTGTCTCACCTGGATGATATAAACACCAGGCTCCGCATATTTATGATTCTTGGTGAACTTTTGTCCAGTCGTCGCAGCTGCAGTCGGGGGAAACAAATATTATTCTTCAGCTCTCAAAGTGGGGGGAATTGTCGGGTTCACCTCTGCGTCCGAAAGATGCGGGTTTGAACCACGACGAACCGCAGATTGAATTGATCCGCTAGGATCCGCGCCCTCCCGTCTCGCCAAGTTCGACCTGACAAACGAGCTGTCGGCGCATTTCAATGAAGAGAAAATGCCTGCGTTGCGTCAAAACGCTAAAATGTCGACTTCAGAAACGTACTTGTCACGTCCTGCTTTTCAATGTGTCCATCGCCGAAATTCCAGGTCATGGTGACATCACTTCCGCCGAACATTTTTGCGATGGCTGTCACCTCTGTTCCTGTGGGGATCTGATTTTGAGAGATGTCCAGTTTGAAAGCTGTCAGCTTCTGCTGTGAGCTGACGTCGGCCATCTTTCGGATGATTTGCTCGTGGTGGCTATTCTTGAGGCTGACAGCAACCTGCGGATCGGAAACTCGTTCCACTTCGGTCTCCGTCGGAGGAATAAATGGAGGAGAAAGGAATTTCAAAGGACTTCCTGATGGAAATCCTCTCACCTCGTACGACCCAGCCTCTTCGTATTGATACTCGAAAGTGAGATTCATCGGGGTGTATACGAGAGCCGCGATCAAGAATCTTTGATCTTTGAGCATCAGATCATCGGTCCGCACTGCCTGTCCTTTCATCGCATTGCGTTTTGTCAAGTCCGACACTTCAGTGCTCACCTGCATCAACCACGAGAGGGGAATGAACCTTTTTGAATCACTTATCTAGCAGCTTGACGGGTACAGCGATTCTCCTGAGGATCCTCATTCTTCCCCCTCCCGTCCAGCAAAACTCACCCTTCGGAACGCCAGTCGTCCGCCGGTTGTTGTGAAACCAAATATGTCCCCAGCTTCGACAGCTAGAGGCTTTGGTAGCTTGTGGACGAAGTATCCTTCCTTGACTTGAACCGGGACGACGGAGATGATTTTATAAATTTCGCTCACCTGGAACGAAGGCAGTAGCTCGACCATTAGGTGCTTCGGTCGGTAATGATGGGAGCTCGGGCTGTCGGAAAAATTCCGGCTCCCCCGTTTTACGGGTACTCACGTCGCGTTTCGGGCACATGTCGTAGTCGATGCAGGACATTTTCGACATGCAGAGATTTGTCTGACTCTCGCACTTGACGACGTCCTGCTCGAAAACACAACCGCTGCAGGCCGGTCGGAGCAGCTGTTCGGAGAATAGAAATGTTAATTCAGGCTCGTCTCGGCTCTCCCAATTCCGGTGTTCCGAAAGGAGTTCCTGGTTATGAATCTGGCCATGATTGAGGGACAAACAGTCCTCTATCTGAATGAAAATTTTCAATCCATGTGGAGAATGTCGATGATTCTCATTTTCGCCTACCAGCATCTCGAGTTTTCCTTGCGTTGCTCCGAAGCCCTGGAAAGCAAACACTCTTCCGGCACGCAGGACTCTTGCTCTGGGCAAAACGGCCGAGTCTGCTGCGTCTTCCTCAGACACAACCACAGAAGGCGTTCGGAATTGAGGAACGTTCTCGCCAACAACCGTTGGGTAAACGTCTGCAAACAATCGTTCAAGAGGCCTGGTGAGTGCGTTTTCCTGCCTCACACCCTGCGATGCCCAAGAAACGAATGGTCGTATTCCGGACTTTTGCCAATGATAAATAAATGAATTGATAGTCCCCATCGCCCCGAGGAACGCATCTAGCCAGGAACGAAATTCACGAGCGTGTCCTGACGGTCGATGTGTTCTCGTTTCCCACCAGGAGTAATTAGCTTTCGGTCGATGATGGAGTCGAGGACCGTGTCGCTAGGTATTTTTGCCGCTTATCGATACGTACCAGGGATCCTTCGTGTTTTTGTTCCGCTTCCGTCACCGGGCATGAAATCGAGACTGAGATCAGTTCCCTTGAGAACATCCAACCTGCATTCGAATTTCGCGTTCGGTTCCACCAGAGCCGGACAGCTCCACGAAACATGCCGTTCCTCGGGGCTCGTGGTCACGACCACGGTAGTGTGAGCGAAGGCCGTGTAGATCTTCGGGAAGGAAGGGTAGGTTTCGAAAAAAATCCAGTCATCCACTCGTGTGTCGACTCGAGTATAAGTACCTCCAGGCAAAAATGTCAGTACAAAACCGAGGATTCACACTCACATCGTGGGCTGTCTTCGGCTTTGCCATCACTTGTACGTCGTAACGGCCTGGCTTCCAATATACGTATTTGGGCTCCATCGAGAGTGAGCCGTTGATTCCTTGGCTGCCATCCCCGAAATCGATCAGAACATCGGCCTCCTTACCCGAGGACACCTTTTGACGAGAGAATCGTAAGCTTATGTATTACGTCATTATCGTTGTCTAACACTCGGAACACTCCGTTCAGCCACGACAAGAGCTCAGTCGCCCGTTTGCTGAGAGTTCCTCCGCCTCTGTCGAGGTGGTGTCCTCCCCCTCCGCGGGGCTTATTCGGGGCACTGGATATATATTTCCCTCAACGTTTCCAACAGAGACCCCCATAGCCTTCTTCCGCAAAAATCGGCGCGAGGGAGACCAAAAGCCATCAACAATGCAAGGCCACATCGGGAACAACAGAAAGTTCTAAGCGACGATATTTCCTAAAGTTTTGTTGCAGCAGCAACATCGAGCTCCGACGAGTAACAAATGGGTCGCTCTATACTGAGGCGCTATGAGAACAAGCATCCCTCGACGGAGTGATGCCGATTCGCGCGCCCACTCGGGAATGGATGTGGGCATGATAATTTTGATAATAATATCGTCCCCCATTGTACTGTGATCGCGACGTATATTACGCGTGGACGATGACGTCCGAATTTCCTCTGATCGCTCGCTGTCACGCTGAACTTCATGCGGTTTCCGACGTCGAGCAGTATCTAAGCACCTCCGTCGCTTCCGAGAGCCACGGCAGGTCTCGTTTCTGTCGGAACCAAATGTGTTCATGTCGCCGGTCCTTTTGACTATTGGGTATTGCTATTTGTGATATCGATCGTAGTTTGACTTGTTCCGAACAGTACAGGGAGAGTTGGGGATGCGCACGTGGATTGTGAGAGTATTTCGGAAACCGACGATTTGCTCTAACCCATAGGGAGGAATTCAGGATGTGGAGTGACATTTTACCGATAGTCGTCGGCTCTCCTCCCTCGAGAGTAACGTTTCTTGGAATGGGAGGATTCGCGTCTGAGTTCAGGGGGAGCTGTCAGAAACATTCTCGCTTTGGAGTCGGAGAAAATGTATTCTTGATGCAAAATGCACCCCGAGCGGGCATGTCAACCACGTACGAGTCGAGCGCTAACAGTGGGTCGGGGAAGCAAGCGTTTCGATCCACAAAACAAACCATCTCGCGAACGAAAAACTCACCGCGATATGGAACGTGACCTCTTCGCCGACATTGACGAGCGACTGCGATGGCATCACTCGCATATTTTCGATTGGGGTGAACAGCGACGAGAAATAGAATCGTACCGCAAACGGATGTTTGTCGCAGACCTCGTCTTTGGCGGCAACGGCTTTCTCGACTGCGAACGAATAAATTTTCTCATGAATTCCCTGATTGAAGTCGTCGCTGATCTGCTCTCATCCCGCTTAGGGCTGATTCAATCGCGAAGACTGAGAATGCAATTCGAGTTTTCGTCGATATCCTCCATAGCCTTCCGGCATGACAAACGCTCTGCAACGACTTCGGAGGTCAGGACATATGTACCATGTCCACCTATCGCGACCATGTCCACCCACCAAAAGGATCATCGGAGCAGAGACAGAATTTCCCGTCCTGGATCCCCGCGTAGGGCATCGGGATTCCTGCGCAGAGACTCGAGCATCGTTCCTTGCCCACTCCGGTGGTTGGATCGTAGCCACCCGGAGTGTTGACAAACGAAGTAGCGGCATCTGATCGGAGACAGTCTCCGTCTTTCAACGCTAAAGCCTCTGAAAAGAAACGTCAAGATTGATTGTACTCTCCGGAGTCGCTGTTCCGAATATTTCTCCCGCGACAGTGGTCAGTGGGGCAAGAGGATTGGACTTCTTTTCGGATCGACGTTCCGCGTCCCACCCTACTTCCTCCGGTCTCTATTTGGCTTGACGCTGCGCGATGATTCCGCGAACGCGGAGCAGTCGATTCGACGCCTCAGTCTCGACTCTGATCTCTCTCTGAGTGATACTCGATCGGTGAAGAGCGAAGTTGTCGACTCAGTCACAGTCACGGTGGATCAGAAGGACTCTACCGGTCCCTAAGTCGGTCAGTCAGCCGCTCGGAAGCTTGCCGGCTGTTAGGATGGTCATTGGGCTGAAGGAAGCGGAGCTAACTCCCCGGCTGCACTGGACTTGTCTCGGCTACTCTAGCTGAAAATAATTATTAGCGTAATAAATGTCAGCAGTTAGCCGGGCGAGTCGTCGTGGGGGCGGGTCAAGTCCTGGAGCAACTTTAGCCCCAGGCCACATCCGGAGAGAGATGACAAGACGAGTAGAAGCTCGCGATCTTCCTCAACGAATAAGCAATCCTGATCTCTGAAATGACGCTCTGTATGTTCTCCCTCGTGCGTTATACTCCGCAAAACCTCGTCGCTGTCCTTTCCGACGCTGATTCAATTCGGATATTTCCACGATCTGCTCACTAAGATCGATCCACGTTTTTTCGCATTCGACATCGTCGGTGACTCCTTCAGACGACTTTTGGCACCGCTCCAACGTAAATTCAGGAGTTTCGAGAGTGCGCCGAGGATCGTTGGAGCGATTCCTCGAAGGATATTCGTCGGTGTCTCGATTCGGCTCAGGTTTGAGTTTTATCGAGTCGAATGCAAAAATCTATATTCCCGTTCGCAAGAATCAGTATTCCCGAAGTTTCTCGGAATAGCTCCCGAGTCGGACTCAACCTCGGCGACTCCACCTATATTCGATATCTCTTCTTGTACCTAGAGGCTTCCGCTTATTCTCTCCGAAATACTAATGGAGGTGAAAAGATGCTTGAACTCATAGAATTCGACTGAGTTCCGTCCCCCGATGCGTTTTCAGCTTACCCGGTATCAAACAGATCACCAGCGCGACAAGAAGACGTTTCTTCACACGCGACGAGCGCTAAAAAATAAGGTCTCTTTTTAGGGCCTTATACTGAACTTCTGACCAGGAAACCTAGATGTCATCCTACCAGCCCACGCGGACTGCCCCGGACCGTCTTGCGAAAGTCGAAGAACAAACTGTCACCGAGCTCATCGGAGTTTTTCATTACATAGGGAAATCGGACACCGTTGAATAATTCTCAGAGCTGCTCCGGTCGCGGGACCGCGGAGCGCGACAACTCAAGTGACAACTAATGTAAAATCCTGATGGAAGCTTCAGAAGATTCTGCCGATAATGTGACGTAACTTACCGCCATTTCCGGCGACTCTTTTCCTCGTCCCGGGAAAACTATGAACCCGCACGGTTCTGTGCACACTTTTACCGGAGAGAATGTTGTTGCTTTCAATGTAGGAGTCCGGTGAATGTGGTCTATACGGTACAGAGTGCGCGCTGTAGCGTTGAGTTCTCCTACGTCAACATCGCCATAGTAACCGGCGAATCCTCCACGCTCTCTGCGCCCATCGACACCGGAAGTTGTTCTTGGAGGTAGGGACAGTTCTGTTGTCTTGAGTCTTCCGGAGATATCATTCCGAATCTCAGGGACCCGGGAATCTCTGGGAAAATGTTGTAAACAATCGAATCGGAGTCTCGACGAAATTCGTCGGACTCAGGTAAGGCCGTACGTTCGGAGGTAGGCCACTTCATACGTTGGACCAGCAGGTTCCGGTCGGGCCGCCGAATCTCGGCTGCCCACGAGAACCGCATGGTCACTCAAGCCTCGCGAACGCCAAACAGCAACACCATCCACGCACCAACGATATGACCTTTACCCAATCGTTGGCTCCGGGCTGCGATGCCAGCGAACGTGTACGGTAGCTACGGGAAACCGAGCAAGTCAGACGGGATATTTCGGATGACGTCGCAACGTGCGTCGCATTCGATTCACCCGGAGCTATTTGTTGCGTCTTTTTCGGTCGCAGGCAGCTCTTCGCTAATAATTTTCGCAGCATGTTGGCATCTGGAGGATACCCAGAGTTGTTTCTCGGGTCTCCGAGAGCGATCTCCGGATCATATCGATTCCCTAGAAACGTCTGATTAGCGACCGGAGGAGATCCTCTTACGGTCGGGGGCGATCTTTCCGAGACGGAATTCAGGGATAACAACCGACCGTACATATTCAATCCATTTATTGCTTTTTCAAGTGGAAAAAATAATATAAACACATTTTCTCGTTCAATTCTCTCAAACTGCGAGACAGTGGGCAGCCAGTCATCAAAATCATCAACATTATCATTATCATCATCCTCTTAGTCGTGATCTGTGTGGGCGGAGAAGGCAACGTGGAGTGCCAGTGCCTTCTCGATCTTGTCGTCTTGATCAAGAGATGAATATTGGCGACAGGGAACTCATACATCAGTTAGTCGGAATAAATCGTCGATCGGTAGGTACTTCGATGAGTTCGCTGGGGGATGGAAGAAATTCGAATCATCGAGGTGTCACGGAGCACAACAGCGTCGCGCACGCAAAACGAGTGAACTTGTTTGAGTTAAATAGAGGACTGCCAAGATTCTGTGGCACTTGAGCTATCACTAGAGTATCATCTGTACAGGAACCATCGGCAGAACGTTTGTATTCTTCGTTCAACGTCACTGTTTACTCGATACGACCCCTCCGTCTTCTCGAGGAGGCTCTGCGCGCCACCCGGCACGAGCAACCCGCTGGGAACTTGAAAAGGGAAACCACGGGAGACGATTCCGGATCCCACGGCCTGAACGCTATCAGCCTGTGTAAACTGAAGCGCTGTTGACAAGTAGATTCGAACAGAGCATCGATCGCTCTACAGGGCTCTCGAGGTTGCCTGGAACAAAGGACATGTATTTTCTCTCGAAATCGCATCTCGCTCGAGCTTCAGTGCCTATTAGAGAACCCGATGATGGGGAGTTTTTTGAACTTGAATTCTCAGATTGAACGGAGGGAATAAAACTTGAGGATTCGAAGCCCGAAGCCTTCGCTGAACTTACAGGCACTTCTCTACTTGGACTTTCTGCGGGAAGTGATCCGTATTGACGACCACCATCCACTCTTTACTGACGGCGTCTCGTGCCCATCCGACCTGGAGCTCTTCGGATTTGGTGTCACATGCAAAGTCTCCTTTGCCGGCCGGCCCGTCGTCGATGTGCTGAGGGAAGAGTTCGGGATCCGCCACCGTATGTAACTCTTCGTAAAGAACCTTGACTTTGTGAATGTTGTCGTCCACCACCCGGCTGACAACATCCCTGGAATTCCGGATTCGGATTAAGTGGTTTAGGCACTCTAGAGAGCAGAGCTTTCCATGGCGCCTCGAACAAGTTGAATAACCGATACCCCTGATGCATAACGAAGTCTCTCAGATCGCGGAGGGTGTGGACTCACATTGGGTAATCGTTCGTCAGAACGCAGAAGTTCCTCCCTTTGACTTTGCACGGAGGAATCGTCCCGTTCACGGGTCTGTCGGGTCGCGGCACTCGAACGGCTTTGCCAAGAGTTGGCTGAGTTCTGCAATAATACTTGCATGAGCCATTCCCGCGGAAGTCTCGAGAATCGAAGTGTCACGCGTCGATTCTCGCCGTAGCAATCCGAATATTGTTTTCTTCTCACTCACCCTGTAGTAGAGAGAGGATCGCCTGTTTTCGAATCGGAGGTTACAGGTCTTTGTCCGCGGGGTCTGCGGGTCGTTGCGGGAAGATTCTGTACCTCCTCTTCGACCACGAGATCCTGCGGCTCATAATCCGAGCTCGTGTCTGTCTCCTGTGGTCTCGGTTTCCGGGTGATTGGGCTGCCGGTTACGGCCCTGTCTCGTCTGGAGGAGGAGCAAATATTCGCTCAGTTTGAATGCATGGCGTGGTAGTTGATCAGTGTTTGCCGGAGGTGACCGCATGCTCAACGGGGAAGTAGTCGCAAGAAGCGGTAACATCGGTTAATGCATGCAAATCCGCCGAACTTACGGTGGTAAGCCATTAGGGAGGAAGGGACCAGGGGCGGGCCTCGATCTAAGCGACCAGAAGAGGACATATGATTAGGCGAAAACAGTTCAGTAGGAACATCACCAAAAAAATACATGGACCCGATCCACAAGGGCACTGAGCCTGCTCGTCAATGGCTCTTCTCACTCGCATGCTCGTTAAACTACTGCAGGATATCAAGAACGGAGGGAGAACTCACGTTGAAAGTTCACCAGACGAAGTCGGCGTTCTGAAAAAATCACTAATTCAGCCGTGGATTCATTTTTCAATCGCAAATGTCAAGAAGAGGACCGTAGGTTAGCTTCTGGAGCAGAATGAGACTATGATAACCATCAGCCTTGTAGAAACTCCTAGTTCGTGACGAGAAGATCAATATTCTGCTCTCGAAGACCAGATCAATTCATGATTGGGTTGTAACTCCTTGTAGCCTTACCGAAACCGCGTCGCGTTGCGGCTGATGTGATCGACGACGGATTTAATTCATTTGATTTAGGGTTAGTAACGGAAGCAAGCTTGTCTCCTTCGTGTAAAAGATACCGCCGTTTTCAGCCAAGTAGTCAGCTCGTGTTTTCCGATTGACTCATGTGGATACGTAGCAAAAAGGGGGCTGATATCACAGGATCGGAAAGATCCTTTGTTCCTCGTAGACACAGCCAGTGAGCGCGGACCCACTCTGATTAGTTGAAAGGGCAAAGTCGAGCGCCAGTACACCCTCTACATCGTCAATGAATTCCATTTTGGGAGGATGAAGAAAGCCCTAGAGGCTCGCTTCCGGGTCGGTTCATAAGAAGCAGTCGGACGCTTGAAAAAGCTTAAATAAAACTAGGCAGACTGAGGAGTGGATCGACAGCCAAGTCCCCTTGATAAAATTTACAGGAATGAGGGGGATGAAGCTCTCCATCATTCAGTCTATCTTGGTTATTCTGCGCGAAACGGGTTTGTTCGGAATTAGTGATTTAGACAATGCGATTTAATTAAGGGCGTAGACGCCTCTCTGCCTTCCACGGTTGGGTCGACTGTGGAGGAACGAATTTTGTTGGTCAGTGGATTTCCTTCTACATAAGTTCTCTCGTCTACCCGGCTCATCGATACTGCATTTGACTCGTGCCAATTGTTCGAGTCCTATCTCAGAGTCGCGTGCTTTCGTGAGAATACCGGGGACTTATCCATCGTGCCTGTCGGTGATTTTCTCTTGAAGGGAACGAAATGTCAACCTGGAGGAAGAGTTCTGCAGAAACTTACGGTAGTGTCGTCGAAGGTCGTTCGGGCTGTTGCTCCTCGAGAGGGGTCAGCTCTAGTGGAGTTGACTCTGTGGCGGGTCGTCGACGGGGTACCGATGCGGGTGGTGGAAGACTATTATCCGAAATCGGAGCGGGTTGGCCACGAGGAGCTCTCGTAGGCTCGAACGGCACCCTCTTTATCTCGTCCGTGGGCTCATACTGAGCTTGTTTCCTTCTGGGAGCGACTGTGGCGACAGGTCTCTGCCGAGGAGCATCGATCGAAGGATCGGCAGCTGGTCGGGGCTGCGTCGGCGGCTCGTAATTTGGACGCGGACGCTTCGGAGCTACGGTTGGAATGGGACGCGGTCTCGGTTGAGGCGCGGGCTGAGGCCGTGGTCGGGGAGCTGGTAGAGGCTCCGGTTCATAGTCGGGCAGAGGTCTCTGCGGAGTCTCGGTCGGAGCTGGTTGCGGCGCCGGACGAGGCTGCTCTTCGGGCTCATAGCTCGGCTGGGGTCTTCTCGGAGGGACCGTGGCGAGAGGTTGAGGCCTGACCTGAGGTCTAGGTGGCTGAGGTCTGATCTGAGGTCGTTGAGGCAAAGGCTCAGGCTCATAATTCGGCTGAGGTCGTCTTGGTGGTTCCGTCGGTACCGGTGCCGGTTCCGTGGGTGGCTCGTAGCTTGGTTGGGGTCTCCGTGGGGGAGGCGTAGCTAGAGGTTGGGGTCTAGGCCGGGGCGCCGGTGGAGCGATGGGCTGTGGCGCTGGCTCGTAATTTGGCTGGGGCCTTCGTGGTGGGATCGTCGGAACGGGCTGAGGCTCAGGCGGCTGGAAATTCGGCTGAGGCCGGACCTGGGGTCTCGGTTGAGGGGCTGGCTGCGGTCTTGGCCGACGTTCCGGCTCGAAGTTTGGTTGAGGTCTCGGCTGGGGAACTGGTTGAGGTCTCGGCTGAGGAGCCGGTTGAGGTCTCGGCTGAGGAGCCGGTTGAGGCCTTCGTGGTGGAGGTTGATAATTGTTCATGGGTCGTCTGGGAGGAACAGTGGGTATGGGTGTGGGTCGAGGTCTGAAGGGTGCCTCGGTGGGAATCGGAGCCGGTGGCCTGGGAAGCGGTGCTGGTGGTGGTGGTGCCGGTCTTGGTGCAGGAGGCTCATAATTCGGGCGAGGTCGAATCGGCGGAATCGTGGGCACCTGTGGGACTGGCGGTCTCGGCGCCGGCGGTGGCGGTGGAGGTGCCGGTCCAGGCGTTGGGGGCTCGTATTGAGGTCGCGGCCTGATTGGAATGGGTTGAGGTCGTGGTGCTGGCGGTGGTGGTGGGGGAACCGGTCTAGGGGCTGGTGGTGGTGGCGGCGGGATCGGTCTCGGCGCGGGAGGGAACGGTCTCGGCGCAGGGGGCTCATAATTTGGTCTCGGCCTCTGTGGGGGTACTGTGGGAATCGGAGGCGGTTGAGGCCGTGGCGCTGGTGGGAGCGGTGCGGGCTCCGGTGGCTCGTAGTCCGGTCGGGGCCTTATAGGCGTTATCGTCGGTGGTGGCGGCGGTGGCCTGGGAGCCGGTTGGGGTGGTGGTGGCCGAGGTACTGGTGCCGGTGGCTCATAATTTGGCCGAGGTCTCAGAGGCGGTACCGTGGGTCCTGGTGGGGAGGGGTCTCGGGGCCGGTGGGGTTGAGGTGGTCGCGGAGCCGGTGGGGGTACCGGCCTCGGAGCCGGCGGCGGTGGAGGCCTTGGGGCTGGTGGGGGTGGCGGGGCCTGGGAGCTGGTGGGGCGGTGGTGGCCTTGGAGCCGGTGGTGGTACCGGTCTGGGCGCCGGCGGAGGTGCCGGTCTGGGTGCAGGGGGCTCATAGTTCGGTCTCGGTCTGAGAGGTGGTACCGTGGGGTAAGCAGGCCTTGGACGCTCTGGTTGGGGCGGCGGCGGCGCTGGTCTTGGAGCTGGGGGAGGTACCGGCCTCGGCTGTGGTGGAGGCGCTGGTCTCGGTGCTGGCGGCTCGTAATTGGGTCTGGGTCTCACGGGCGCCACGGTGGGTATCACCGGAGGTCTATAAGTAGGCCGTGGAGCAGGCGGAGGCTGGGGAACTACCGGTCTCGGTGCTGGAGGCTCGTAGTTGGGTCTCGGCCGCACAGGCGCAACTGTGGGTACCACAGGAGGCCTATACGTGGGCCTTGGAGCCGGCGGGGGCTGGGGAACCGGTCTGGGCTCTGGCGGAGGCGCCGGTCTCGGCGCTGGCGGCTCGTAGTTTGGCCTAGGCCTCGAAGGAGGCACCGTGGGGATCACGGGAGGTCTCGGAGCCGGTGGAGGGG